TGTAACTTTTTGCCATGTCTTTATCCAGACAGATATGGACAAGGGGAGAATAGAAGAGTTGGGCAGGGATTGGTATGGGGTACGACACAGATAGGTTATAGGATGGGAGGAGGAGGAAGGAGAAAGGTAAAAGAGTTAGAGGAAGAGAGAACGCTAAAAAAAAGAGGAAGGAAAATAGAATAGACAAGTTGGTAGAAGGTCTTGGAAAAAAAAAAATAGAATTATTTGTCACATATAAAAATATTAATAATAAGCTCGGCACATTATAGGTAAAACGTACCAAATAACACTAATTTAAGTTGCAGGCAGACCATGCAAAGTCCCAAATCACTGTAGCTGCAAGCAGTCATTATCTGTGTCACACTTCCTCCCTAGTCAAAAGAGCAATGAGACCTGTCAAAAGGTCAATGTTACTACAGCTTGTGAGACTATCATGTATGGTAGAAACTGTAAACTTTGGACCACATCAACTCCACCACCAACTTATTCACTAGGACTCACATTCTTTCTATGGACAAACATTTTCATGTCCAGCTATGTAGTATGCAACTTTCCATCTCTAGAATAACTATAATGAATGGGGTTAAGGAGGTGCAGAAAAGTGCAAAGTGTATGGAGCCCAAGCTTTCACTCACACTTCTATAGGTAAGTAATCTTTGGGTTTCTGAGCATATGCATTTATATTTGATCAATATAATTGCTGCCTTTAATGAAGGATGTCTATCTGTTTTTTATTCGAATAAGACCAAAGTAAGTCTTACACATTGCACAAAAATATTATGAACCAAACACGTGCTTCGCCAGAAATCCTTTAATCTCTTGGCTTGGCACATCCTATGAGTAGCAAGTTACAAGGCACATACAATTACAGAGCTGGTAGAAGGATATCTTCTTCCAGTTAAAGCTCCTGGTGTGTTAAATCATTCACTAAATGCAGAGTCAGAAAGAATATCTCATGACAGGAGAAGAAATAAACAACTAAATGACTGGTGAGAATATTATTGTAGCAGTAAAAATGCATATTAAAAGGCTTTCTTTTTTTTCCTGTAGATTTATCCACAATTACAAACTGCTTGAAAATTACACAAAACATAACAGTGCCAGAAAGAGAAAGACAGGCGCTGATTTCCTATTTTCCTTTTAGATGGAAGATAAGGATGCTTAAATATTTGGGAATTAATTTAACACCTAGAATTACGGAGTTATACCAATCTAATTATATCCCGATATTAAACACAGTTAAATCAGATTTAACATCCTTCTCTTTATGGAAGCTTTCATGGGTGGGTAGAATTAATGCAATAAAGATGATGACCCTCCCAAAAGCATTATTTGTATTCCAGATGATACCTATCGAGATACCTAGGACCTTTTTTCAAACATTGCAGAAGGTTATATCTAAATATATATGGCAAAATAGGAAATTGAGATTATCAGGGAATACCCTGAGCAGAACGAGACGAGAGGGAGGATTGGCCCTTCCTGACTTCAGGATTTACCACTTAGCGGCCCAACTGATTAGAATAGCGGATTCGACGTTCGGGATAGGACAGAAAAGCTGGGTGCTGCTGGAGACAGTATTAAGCGAAACTACCCTTGCGGGGATGATTTGGATACCACCATCAAAGAGACATATGTCCACAAATACACTACCATTTACTATATCAACTTTAAGGACATGGGATCGGTTATGCTGTAGATATGGGTGGTTGTATAACTCGATCCTTATGCCACTACCGGGGAATGAGTATTTCCCGCTAGGGAAATCTGATTCTGCATATCTAAATTGGAGTAAGTTGCCTAGTCTAAAAGTGAAGGACATTATGTCAGGAACTGCAATATGTTCGCTGCAGGAATTGAGGGAGCAATCGGGGAACCTATGCGTTAGATTGGTGGAGATATCAGCAATTACAGCATTTTATCCAAATTTTACCTAAACCCTTGAGAACAGGTAGTGAATTAACAGAGTTTGAGTCCATCTTAGGAGCTAAACAGGCACCACAACATTGTCTTTCACTTTTTTATAAAGCGATTATTACAAAGGAAAGCGCAACAACACCTGCGTACCTGAGAAAATGGGAAAGGGAATGTATGTTTACGCTTACACAAGAAGAGGAAAGAAAAATATTAAGTTTAGTTACGCCACAACCATAGATGTAAAAAAAATGGAGACAGACTATAAACTGTTAACAAGGTGGTATCATGTCCCGCAGAAATTACAAAGGATACATTACACAAATGAATCATGTTGTTGGCTGGCATGTGGAGCGAAGGGAACTTTTGCACATATATGGTGGGATTGCCCTAAGATAAGACCATATTGGGGAACGGTGAGGAATACCATCAGGCAAATCTGTGATGTACAGCTACCCATAGATCCCTGGGTGTTCCTATTTCATCTCACAACAGAATCGGTTAAGGTATACAAAAAGTCCCTAATACCCCATATGTTAAATGCAGCCAAATCTTTGATCCTGAGTAATTGGGACACAACTAAAATTCCTTCCATCTCTGAGTGGTTTGCAAAACTGGACTCAATTAGGTTGATGGAAGAGTTGGTGAAGATGAAGCAGGATAAATATAAGTTGTTTTTTTTTTTTTCAAACATGGGGAAAGTGGCTAGAATTTAAAGAATCAGATGTGTATCGCTGATTATGTATGATAAAAATTGGACCCAAGATTAACAGGGAATGACTATTTAATATGGAATTGTTGAAAGTGTTCAAGGAGTTAGAATAGTAGGTAACTTATTGCCATGTCTTTATCCAGACAGATATGGACAAGGGGAGAATAGAAGAGTTGGGCAGGGATTGGTATGGGGTACGACACAGATAGGTTATAGGATGGGATGAGGAGGAAGGAGAAAGGGAAAAGAGTTAGAGGAAGAGAGAACTTGTAACTTTTTGCCATGTCTTTATCCAGACAGATATGGACAAGGGGAGAATAGAAGAGTTGGGCAGGGATTGGTATGGGGTACGACACAGATAGGTTATAGGATGGGATGAGGAGGAAGGAGAAAGGGAAAAGAGTTAGAGGAAGAGAGAACGCTAAAAAAAAGAGGAAGGAAAATAGAATAGACAAGTTGGTAGAAGGTCTTGGAAAAAAAAAAATAGAATTATTTGTCACATATAAAAATATTAATAATAAGCTCGGCACATTATAGGTAAAACGTACCAAATAACACTAATTTAAGAAAAGAAGAACTATATTAATAAAAATAATAATAAAGCACTGTAACATGATATAGTATGCAATTTATATTTGTGTTGATAATTTGACTTGAATTGTTTCACAATGAAAATGTATATTTAACACAAAGCAGGGGTTATTTACTAGTTCACCAAACACATACGGAATGGAGAGGGGGAGGGGAGGGGGGTGGAGGGAGAGAGGGTGTTTACACACTGTGGAACATAAAGATAGCTGAAGCATAATACCCCGGGACCCTCAGAGGTATAAGGGGGACACAGATGGGATGAAATGGGTATAACACTGAGGAAGGAAATTGAACTCCCTGTTGTCCAGGTCTGTGGCAAGACGGGTGGAGATATGGCAAAGAGGAGAGGATGAATGAATGTTATATGTTTATGTGGATATATGAAAAAGTTATAAGAGAATAACATGTGTATGATACTGCTGTAATTTTACGGATGTCAAAAATTGAATAAAGAATTAATAAATGTAAAAAACATTTTTGGGGAATGTGTAGAATGCTTCTGAGGAAATTGCTATAATTATGTAAACTTCTGTTCACTTTGCTCTCTCCTGATATCAGCTTGTCCACTTTAAGCGTATGTGCATGCAGCAGAGTCTGATTGGCTCCTATATGGCTGGAATGACAAATGTATCGGCAGGTTAAAACAATTTACACAAAAGTATCTCAGTTATTAATGACAGACTATACAGGACACGTTTGTATATAAGTAGGTGATATGAAAATGACCCTAAAACGTAAAATGAATTTACCAGAGAACATAGCAGAACACAAGTAATATTTTTGTGCAAGGTCCAAGCTACTAATGTTGATTGTGTAAACTTTCAGATTAGAAGCATTTTGCAGCTATGTCATCTTTTAAATGTTTATATATCCTACGATGTTGAGTTCATGTTATTTAATAGACATTGTTCATGTAGGGTTCCTGGGGTCACTCTGCACTGCCTTGTTTGCCTCATACGCCCTACAAGGAAAGCCCTTAGTGCAGTGGGGAAGAGATTTGCTGAAGGTCATCCCTATGGCTGAAGAGTACTGTAAGAAAACCATACGTCACATGGCAGGTAAGAATTGAAAACCATGGATAGCAAAATAGCCATCATTTATAATTCAGTTTTTCATAATTTGGCTATGGTATACTAAAAACTTCCTGGCTGATATGGATTATTACACTAAGCCAAACATTTAATGCTCCGGGCAGAAAAAAAGTACCCGAGTTATATCAGTTTTATCAGTGGCGGAGCTAAGGAACAAAGGGCCCTGGTGCAAGATTTTTTTTTTGGGCCCCCCCTCCCCCCCAAAAAAATCCCACAAACACAGCGCTCTCCTTCCGCAACGCTTGGCCGGCTGTCACTTTCTCTCCTCCCCGCTGGGAGACGGAGCAGTGACACTCCCGGCGGAGAGACCAGGGGCCCGCCGCGCGCTGGATAATGATCCGGCGGCCGGCAACTTGCTGGGCCCCCCCAGAGCCTGAGGCCCCGGGCGCCCGCACCGCCTGCACCGGCGGTAGTTCCGCCACTGAGTTTTATATTGCTTTGCATCCAAAGTAACCACCCTTCATGCTGGCTTTCTTCTAAATACATCAAATCTATTTGTTAGCATGTCAGATTAGTTAGATTAGTTGTATTTCTGGACCACTTGTATTTAAGTAAGTGCTGTCGGTCTCAAGATGGTGACCCTAGAACTACATTCATATTTCCACATCCCTCTCCTCTTGGTCAATCACAAAACAAGCAGCCAGAAAGTACAGCAGGACCTGTACTAATCCAACATTTAATTGATCAGTTTTGATGGATTTAGAAAAAAAACCTGTATGACATGGGGATAATTTAATGCAGAGGTACATATATAACTGCTATAACCCTGATATGTTTATTGTGCCCAGGGTTGGGCTTTAACACAAGGCTCCATGCACTGCTTTATTGATAGTAATTGCAATGGTTTTTCATGTCTGGCATTCCTAAGGAAGATTCTTTTTCTCTTAACCATATCCATTTAGAGTACCAAGAGCACTGGTTTTACTTTGAAGCCAAATGGCAGTTTTATCTGGAAGAGAGAGAAATAGAAGACGACAACATGTCCAAGCCCAATTTCCCTGATGAGTATGACGCAGATGAGAGAGATAAAGTAAGCTGATTGGTCAGGATACTGTTCATTCATGTTTTTTTATTCTGTATTTAAATGTTGCATAGAAATTCGGCACAATTAAGCATAGTAATTATTATCATAATCCTTTATCATTCACCAATATACTATGCTTTGGTGTGAAGAGTTTGGAGAAGGCAGGAGAAGTGAACAATCTAGGACAACATAGCTGAACTAGAAAGTGAGCTGAATTGGAGAATTTTTCCAAATCAGATATGTTGTCCTAGATTATTTACTTGTCCTGCCTTCTCCAAACTCTTCACCCTTTAGTGAATAGCCCTGTGAATGTTCAATAAATCTTAAAAGATTATGTCGGACTTTAATGGTACCACAATAACATATGAATTGATTCAATCAATGTTGTTGGTTGAAAATTAAATATTTTTCATAAAAACATAGACAGTGTTTACACAACAGCACTTCAAATGACAATGTAGCGCTGACCCCCAAAGGAGCCGCCAGAATAGCAGAGTCATCACTAGTTGTCTAGGGGTTTTGGTCTTCAGCTGCCCCATTAGCAATTAACTGCCCTCTTCTAGTGCCCACAAAGCTGATATCCACTCTAGAAGTACAATGCTGAATAACTCTACAGTAGAGTCACACTCCATCCACCCAGGTAGCAACAATCAATGCCAGACACCTGGAATTAACCAGCTAAATGCCAACTATAAATCAGCCAGGCTGACTACAGCGCTGGCAATCACTGAATTTCTAGTAGCCACCTCACAAAACGTGATGGGGGCTACAACAATTTCATAGCAGACACTGAGGACTAACCCCAAACTCATACTGGACCAGCTACATCACATAGATATAATCAGCTTCATCATCATACAGTATATGATTTTTTTTTTTTTTTATAATCTTTATTTTCAGTTTGCAATTTTTGTTCACAAAGCCGCAAATAAGGGACATAAACGGGCCAAACAGCGACCCCCAAGAACAAAATAAAGAAGATATGACATACAAATCATACAGTAATCGGGCGGTCAGCCCATACGTATCTTACAGGCTCAATCCGGTAGGAAAGAGATGATGCACCAGGCACCACCTTGTGTTTAGGCTAGTAGGCACCCCATCGTCCTGACGTTATGCAAATAGTACATATAAGAGAGGATTCCAGTGTAGGAGAATAGTTTACTCATCCGAACTATAGCAAAAAGCAAAGACTGAAGGAGAGCTTAATGGCTCAATAACCTAACAAGGCCTTCAAATGTACAGGTCACGGTATTACAGTATATGATTTTGTACATACATTAGGTATAACCAAATATTACTATTGGTGCCAGTACTTTCAGTAACAGGGACAACTCAACGCATTTCATAGAACATCCTTTAGCCTACTTCATTAGGAGACTCTTAGGAAACGTATTTTAAAATCTCATCTTAAAATATGTCAGCAAACACTCCAAATACCAGCGTGAACCCCGGTTTTGTGGATGTAGGGGCAGAGGATGGGCTCCTGGGGACAGGGAACATTGCTGGACCGGGAAGGGATGATTTTCCAACTGCATAGTAAACTAGTAATGGGGCATTAGTAACCATTAAAACATGACATTACGGAGAAGTAAGGTCCACTTTATGCTGTTGAGAATCTCTTTGCCCTTTTGGTGCCCTCTACAAAAAAAAGAATGTAGTTCTGTAATTAATATAATATATTATTAAATGTATTTTTTAAATACAAGCAGAGTAGGTGAATGGGACTTAGTATCAACTTCTTGCAGTCCCTGTATAGAGATGGAGTATGAGAGGAAGAAGCAGTAGAAGGAGCCATTTATTTCATGTGCTGACAAGTAGGGATGAGCTTCAGGACCACAGGATCCCACGTGGTTGATGTTTACATTACAAAAGCTGCAGAAATTGTAATTTAGCAGTGGCAGCGGTAGTGCAACTAGGAAGTATTGCTGTTCGGGGGGCTGTCGTGGTGGCGGAGAAACATTGATAGTCATTGTGACTGATGGGGGACCTTCATCAGTGGACAATGTGATTGATGTATTTACATCGGGGTACAATATTTACAAATTATTTTACCATAAAGGACATTTTCATGATGTGGGTGTCTTTGTTCTTAACTCATTGTGGATGTGGTAAGGGGCATTAATGTACCCATTTCATTCCCCTGGGGGGGGGGATATCTGGGCCCACCCTATTATAAAGGAGGCTTCCAGATTTCTAAAAGTCCCCCCCACAAACCCCCATCCATTCTCCAATAGGATGTGGGGGTTTGTGAGGGAAGAGGCCTTTGTCCCTCAACATTGAGTGACAATGACTTTTAAGGGGGGAGGGTTTACACCACCCTTGCTAGGTGGGTCCAGGATGACCTGGGCTCTGAGGAAGTGTAATAAAAGTTGTTGACCACCAAACTTAGGACAATTAGCAACAGAAAAAAGTACTAAGGGATACATCTTTGGATTGAAGGTAAATACTAGGGATGCACTGATATCGATACTAGTACTATATCGTTACCAGCTCCTGTAGGGTGGACACACTTCAATCAGGTGGCTGCTGTATATTGGTGTGCAAAGCTCCTCACAGACAGAGGACCCTGTCTATTACAACCACAAATCAAAACAAAAAATCTAAGGAGCGCAACTACCAAGAGGTGTATTTGTGGACTTAATCTGGCGAAGGGCCCTGTGGATCGATGTGATAAGAACAGAATATCAGGAGCACTATTATTCTTGGAGTGTGGATGTCTATGGCAGTGTGACAGCAAAAGAACTTACAATTCGGAGCTCCCCTGGTTTCTGTGCGGCAGTCTCCTGGAACGGATCCTGGCTCGAAGGGATGTCTCCGGTGGTGTAGGTGGCAGATCCGGACTAGATGTAGAACCGTATGGCCGCCCACGCACTGGACTGGCCGGGCCGAGCCGCGTCGGTCAGGAACGGAGAAGAAAGGGGGAGGAGCTACAAGCGGCTGTGGGACGCCATGCGCCGTATGTCACTGGTTACAGTCGGGCTCCTGTCACAGGGGAGTCAGGGGTCTCCGGGAAAGTGGCTACGCGTTTCGAGGGGTTGCCTCTTTATCAAGCCTCAGGGTGATTGTTGTGCTAGTAACTTATCCCTTGCTGAGACCTCTATGCCTGGCCTGTATAAGCAGATTCAATCACTGAGGACAATCCTTATCAGATAGCTGAACTCACCAATACCGTTTCATCCACAGGGGTTTCTTTATTCTGAACATCAGGGTTACAGCAGATGACAGGAAACAACTGATGAGTGGTTGAGGTATTATGCGGTCAAAAGATGATAACTTCGTAGCGTACTATGTGGAATACATGTCTCCCTAGTTACATGTGGCCTGGTCGCTGCATCCATGACACAGGAAGTACTGACCAGGAAGAAGGGTTGGGGCATTACATACAAAGGAAATGTGTCATCGACATCAGGAAAGGAACATAAAAAACATGTGCATTACCACAAAGAGTTACTAGATGGCAGCATGTGAACTAATATATAAAAAGTCCATAGGAAAATGGTACAAAGAAAACAAACTATATAATTCTTATCTACTAATGTTAATATGAACTGAGGCTATGCATAACATATTCTATGCCCCATTGGGGCCGCACAAGTACTATAGATATACTAGTATCGGTATAGGTGCTGATACCAAGTATTTGAGTAAGTATTCCTACTCACCCAAATGCTCTGATACTCACCTCTAATACCAGAACTTACGGTCAGAGGTAGATCTCCCTCTGACCGGCAGTGCCGAGGGAGCATGGAGCCAGCTTCCTTTCCAATCAGGAAGCCGAGCGGCAAGTTATGACCCGCCTCCCGGCTTCCTGATTGACTAGGGAGCCGGCTTCACTTGTTGCTAGGCAGCCTGGCTTCTTAACCAATCAGGAAGATGGGCGGCACGTTATGACCCGCCTCCCAGCTTCCTGGTTGGTCAGAAAGCCAGGCTGCCCAGCAACAAGGCTAGCCAATCAGGAAGCTGGGAGGTGGGTTATGACATGCCTTCCAGCTTCCTGATTGGCTAGGAAGCCAGCTTAATTTATTGCTAGGCAGCCTGGCTTCCTGACCAATCGGGAAGCTGGACGGCACCTCATGACACTCCGCCTGGCTTCCTGATGTTGCAGTAGTTGATGCCACATATTATGACACTTTGGGCTCCTAAGTTAGGAAGGTATGCAATCTAGAGATGTTAGATCCAATGATTACATTTGTGCCAAGATTGCCTCATTTTTAGAGAGAAAAACATTTGAGCAAAGTTAGGGTAACAAATGCCACATCTAAATTTATAACATCCTACTTTAAAGTTTTACATTTGGGATTACTAAAGAGCTCTAATTTGTATTTTTATTGTACAGACATATAAGAAATGGAGTTCAGAGGGACGTGGTGGAAGAAGAGGGCATGACGCACCTATGATTGCATACGATGCACTGTTGGGAGCCAGTGGTGACTGGAAGGAGCTTTGCAGCCGAGCCATGTTCCATGGAGGTACGTTGTGATGCTAAATAATAGAAAAAGTTGTGAGCAGGCAGAGGTGGTACTACAAATCACAGGACCCGGCACCTGTCACCTTCTACTGGTTGCTCCCCTCAGAGATTCCCCTCTCCCCTTTCTGTTTCTCCAGCGTTCATTGGACACACAGGCAGGGGAGGGGGCAGGCAGAGATGGCTCTGGCTCTAGAGAGGCAGAGGCAGCTGTCACTTAGGCAGCTGGGGTGGATCCCATAAAACTGATGGGAACCTTCCCAGCTGTGGTGCAGCTCTACGCTGTCAGCAGATAGCAGGCATTAGCTCGCTATCTGCTGACAAAAGAGATGTAAAGCCAAAAAGCATCTGTAAGTTTGTTATTAATGTCTGTTTCCCTATTGCAGAGATTTCCTCTCAAACAGGGGCACAGACAAAATCAAATGTAGATGAAGGACAAGCTAGACATTCTGACAATGTTTCCTTTTCCTCTCTGCCTTCTTGTCATGTTGTTTCCACAAAACCTACCAATGAGGTCACAAACAGAAACAACAACCTGACAAAAATGTTACGTTTTCCCCAATATACCCTACACAGCTGGACTTAGACCCTAACCCTAAATACCGGAGTGAGAATCTCTGGAGTACTGGGGAGCTGGGATTACAGCAACAAAGGAGCAAGAGTTTCTGTAATCACTGGGGTGCAGGGAGCATGGAAAGACAGGAGTGCAAGAGACTCTGGGAGCACTGGGTTGCCACAAGCACATGAACACAGAAGCAATAGTCTCTGGGAACACTGGGCTGCTGGGAGCACAGGAAGACAGGTGTGCAAAATGCTAAGACCGCACTACAACTACAGAGGGCACACCATTGCAGAAGTGCTGTAAGCTCTCTTTTAGTACACAGGGAACACAGGTGCAAGAACACTGGCAGCTCTCTTGGAGTTCACAGGGCACAAGCTTTCTTGGATTACACAAGTAGGGGTACACAATTGCAGAAGGTTTCTCAGGAGGAATACACAAGGATTTGTAGGAAAAGCTCAGCTGCTAGCGTAGTGAAGCATTCTGAGGATGCCTAGCAACACATGCACTAGCCCTTTAAAACAGCACCTGGCTGAACATTAGCTGCAATGCTGGTGGCCTCTGCTTGGCTACATTTCTGGCAGCCTCATGCAGGGGGAAAGCCCCACCACTGGAATGAGACACAGGTGTAACATAGACACACAAATTGTAACAAGGTGTATCTGAAAAGAAAACAAGGCTTAACTATAAAATCAACCCAGAAATCTTGTCAGTATAAAACTAATAGCATTGCTGTGTGCATTAAAATCTATTTTAAACTATCTATACATCCCTTGAAGCCTGTCTTTTTGTGTGCCACTTGTGTCAAAAAATGACGGTTTGACTGTTGGATCATAAATATTAATGTCCCATAGAGCCATAAAATAATAAAACTGTCGTATGGCAATGTTACAATAATAAAGTGATCAACTTTATGAACATAAACTGCACAACTGTCAATCCAGCTATTATTTATGACTTAAGTATTGGTTCTAAGTTTGTGCAGTTATGCATTCATGATTATGTTCATGCACCCATTATAGCTATTAATTGTAAATTAATAAAAGTCATGGGTTGATTTTATAGCCGTTTTTTTGTTTCATCTATACCTATTGAAAGTCAATTGTTGAGCCACTGAAATATGTCCTAAAATAATTATATTTTGGGTTAAAGTTTTGACCATGTGTTCTCTTCCCTAGTGTTTTAAGGAAGCACCAACTAACAAGGTGCTGCTTAGTGTTAACCTTCTGATGTTATTGCAACCAAAGCCACTAAAGCAATTGGAAATTATATGAGATCTAAAGTCATAGCATACACTTTTATAACATCAGCATTGTAATAGCAATACAAATGATAGTTATTATTGACAATCCAATATACAATAAGGTTACTTGCAAAATCTCCTTTCATGTTGTGAGTGCCTCCTATTTGTTGGCCATTTCTTTCAACAACATCATGGATATCCTGCATGGCTTCTCCTATGCTCATTCCATTGGTTTACTTTCAATTTCAAGGACTACATATCCAATGGTACCTTGCTGCCTGCAAACAGTAATGGTGTGCCTCCTGAAACTCCTCCTCTTCAGCACCTCAGTAGTTCAAAGGGCAAGCTCTGTGAATATTCACAAGGCATAGTGAATATGTTTCACTGCATTCAAGAAAGTAAATTTGTAGAGTTCTTTAAAAAGTACTTTTTCAACTTCAAGATCATTCAGTTTAATAGGGATAGACTAGAAATAATTAAAGTTTAATCTGGAAAGAATATACACTTTATGAGTGTAAATGTTTGTAGCATTAGAAGAAACTACTACCTTTGTTTCATCAGATCCAAAACAGTACTATCAATGTGGAGGGTCTCCATACAACAGCTATGTGTTAGGAAAAGGCAAATCTTGTCCTATTCATATTCATTTTGTTTTGCATGGTATTAAGAGACAATATAAGCCCTACCCATGATTTGTTCCTCAGTTTCCTTCCACCCAATTGACAATCCTAAGCACTTGAAACCAATTTCTAGAAAGCCTATTTTCTCTTGATCTCTGAGACATATGATAGTCTTGCCAATGTTGTATTTATTGCTGCTGTGATACTTCCATGTAAAATTTACTGCAAGATTCTAGGATTTTTTTGTGGGTGCACTTGTTGCATTATTTATGTTCTTACAGGGGAAAGTGGTGCAACTGGATCTATTGCTGGATGTCTTTTTGGATTGCTGTATGGTATCACCAATGTGCCAAAAGGTCTCTACCAGGAGATTGAACTAAAGGAAAGACTTGAACATTTGGGAGAAAAACTCTATCAAGTATCTTCAACAGAAAAGTAAAGCGGTTTCTGCTATTTTCAAATTCTTAAACTACTATAAAATGGAACTATACTTCTGGTCACATCATAAATATATTTGCTATATTAGAACTCCAGCTAAGTGTTTGTCTTCATTTGTTGGAAATAATGGGGAAGGGTTATATAATTTGCCATGTTTTTATTGCTGTATAAAAAAAAAAGAACAAAGAGTACTGTGGTAAACTTTCAATAAAAAAGTATGTTTATTGATAAGTCAATATTTAAGCCAATGTGGTTTGGGTGTTTTAGGGGGCCCCTCCATCAGGGCTTCAAACTTTTAGGTGAATTAGAAGATATATTTGATGGTGGGATCATTCCAGCAACAGTATGGCAGCTTTTTTGTTTTCACTGCTGAATGTGTCCCCACTAGGGCGATTTCTCTCACTTCCAGTCCTGGAAACCACTGTATCTGGAACAGGAAGTGAGGTGGAAACACCATGACAGAAATGCTGAGAGCAATAAGAACCTGACAGAAGTGCTAACCCTTCCCCATTAAAATGTTTTATTGGTTTATGTGCCCTCACCGGAGAGATCCACTCTATCAAAAATGTAAAAATGGCTGGAGTTCTAATTAAATGTGTTGTATTAGTAATCCTACCTCAACAGTTTACCACAAACAGGAAAAGAGATTGCTGTAGAATTATTTCTTGTTTGTGGAATATAGGACATTGTGGTTATATGGATCATTTTGTGACCACATAATAGAAATACAAATAAGAAATAGGAAGTGATGCTTTCAAGACTGTGGCAGGCATTTTAAATCTCGTATAACACAATCTAGGAACTAGTAGACTTGTTTTAATGAAATTTATGTTGGCTTATTAAACACATTATGGCCCCACACAGATGTACCCAAGCATACACTAACAACTCTGACACATTGGGGGACACCCACCTCCACATAATGAATTACACATTTTTTAGTGTGAGATACAATCCAAGCCAAGGTGAATCTGTTAAAACTTGCTAAGCAAAACTGATATTAAAGAACTGTTTAGCATAATTCACATAATAATATAATGATGTCTTCAGCAATATTGATAGAATAATGTTGATGAAAATGTGTGCTAGTGTCTGCCAGTACTCAATACAACCAATTAAAATACCTTAGCAGTAATATATCTATATATTACATGGCCCTAGCATTAAAAAATCTAAAGAGTCCTGGGTCTCCAACCTCTATCTTGAAGACACCTCAGTACTAAGATCTCTGATGTTCAAAAAAAGTAGCCAACACAGAAGTACATTATTTTGACAACACACTGACAAATCAGATTCAACTTACATTTATTAAATGCTAAATGTTTTGCCAAATGCTATACCTGCATGGATATATCACTGTGCAGCCAGACTGTACTGGGCCCCGTGGGCCTCATTGCCATTGCATGGTCTGCTGTGATAATTGTGCCTTTGTAAGAACAAAAAAATTGCCATTGGGCAGCATGATAGTATACAGTCAATACAGTCATACTTATCAAATGTAGAAATATAAATAATGTCATACAGGAAACAGGAATATGTGGTTATATGTTTTGACTCAATGATTTGTGATTATGCATAAAAACAATGTTAGTCTTCAATCTACCGAGAATGGTATGGTGCACGTTATGCTCTAGTCTAAACTCTGGTCTGCATTAAGAAGCATGAACATGTTAATGATTAATTTAAAGTAGACATTCTGTTAAATTTTGGGAAACATTATTTCAGTGTGCATATATGCTTGTTAATAAAGTTATTTTATAGCCTTTCTTTTAATTGTGGATCTTGCTCAGTGGGTGAAATGGAATTCCACTCTATGGTATACTTATTTGATTGTCACATTCTTATAATACTATAGAGCAGAGTATCAAGAAATTCTTGGAGATATATAATCCTGTACATTACACACATCAGGAGACTTTACCATACCGCTTTTTGCGGTTCCCTGGTTGTTAAAGATATAATTACATTAATTGAGGATCTTGAGAAATGCATATTAAAAGTATACCTGCGCCCAGATTATGCACACTAAATTATTTTCATATCTCGCACAGGCAGCAAAAGCACTTTACAACAAGCCCTCATTCACCTCTCTAGTTAAAGGCATTGTGGTGTAATTTGTCTTCAAAATTTACAAGAGACTCAGTGAAATTGGAGCTTCTTTCTATGAGAACAGATCTTGGTAGACTGCCAGCCATCTAATGTAAACAAACAAGATGTTCCTAAGCTTTTAAAACTAACCCAAACCGACTTTAGAGTCTTTGTTGTAATCTTGGAGATTCATTTCACATTAAATGCAGCTAGAGAGGTTGGGGTGACTTGTTTTAAAGCTACTTTACTGCTTGTTAAGAATAATATGTGAATACATTCATGTCCAAACTTTGGGCACAGGTGCACAGGTCTGGAATATACGTTAAAATCACAAATGTGGTTGAAAAAATGATAAACTGCCACCTGAGGCCACACTTAAAAGGTTGTAATCCTCTTATTTAAATGACATACCCTAAATAATAAGTTTGGCTATGTAAGTCCTAACAGTCATTGACTAAAACAAAATATGGGAACATTTTATAGCAATTAGATTGTGTAGAAGTTAACTCCACTCAAAGCAAGTGCTTACCAATGTGAAAATTCTCATGATTGTACTGATTGTACAAACAATCTCTGCAATCACTCAACAGCCATTCCCTTTTTGCCCATAGAGAATGCTGCAGTTCAATTACTATTAATGCTCCCCATTAATATGTCAACAAAACCATAGATAGCTATTGCAGCATGTTATTTTAGTGCAACAATCTAGAGGCGGGCATAGCCACATTCTCTCATTGCCCTTCCTTCTCAGTGACAGACCTTCTCAAAGCTGATTCACCCTCAGACGTCTCATTTATATTTGGACTTCAGCAAGGAGATCTTGCATCTATTATTTTTTTTTCTACACTCACTCACTTTAATTGATATTTCATCCAGCAGATTGAGTCATTATTTCTAAAAGCCATGGGGAAAAGGGTGGGGAATCGAGTTCCGTTTTATATCCGTGGATATAGTACGGAATTATCATTGGTGTTTTGTGTTTTAGCCTCAGCCATGGGATAATTTAGCTTATATTTGCTTTTCCTGGATTTGTTCAGAAATGTTAATGCTGCATACCCAATCTAAGGTACCATATCATTCTGTGATTATCTCTAAACTTCTAGGTATCAAAAATGTTATATTTATTTTGAGTTTAGCACACTTCAGTATAATATGTAATTTATACTGTATGTATAGACTTATGTCATTAAAGGTTAAATCTTCTTACAATCTGCAGGTTCTAGGATCTAGGATCACCATTCACCTATGACTTACCGTATGCACACTGCAGAAAGTCTTTATATTTCATTACATCATTGATCATAACATCATGACATCATCATGCTTCATTTATAGCTTTGCATGACATATTTTGAGTATGTGCTCATTAACCGTTTTTATTGTGAACAGTCTTCAAAGTGTGAAAACAAATAAACACAAACATAATTATAAACATCACAGTAAAATGTGCAGGAATACATGTAAAGCAGTAGGAGTGTAACTTTTTCTGCATCAAAATGATGTTGTGAGATGATAGTATACTGTAAATATTGTGCAGTGTCAATAAAATCCCCATCTTATAAAATTATAAGGGATCTGTGTACGAGGAGACCTTCAATATTAAAGCTTGTAGCTGGCTCAACTTCCACAAGCTTAGCATGTTCTGAGAATACTAATTCAGTTCAAAGTGCAGTTGGGATGGTTTCAGTCAAAAGCAGACACATGATAAAATCACTCTAATGGGCCCCACCACTTTTAAAAATCAGGATTTGCAGGCATATTCAATATAACAGAGCAAGAAGCAAATTACAAAATGCAAAGTGTAGGAATATACATAGCCAATAACCAATTAGCATCCATCTTATAATGGTGCCTTCATGAAATTCATTTTGATTGGTTGAAAGTTATGAGTTACTGCACTTTGCTCTTTGCACGGTATATTGAATAAGTCCCTTAACCTTTACATTTCTGACAATGTTCTTAGAAGAAAGATCACAGGATTTAAAAGGTTAAGACTTAAAAACAGAGATATAAGCTCTTTTATAACTCAGTCAGGCCTCTGGAGTAAGCTGTAGTTTCTGTCTCTTCTCATTTTCCACTTTTTGCTTTGGAGAATTCATAAGAGGTTGGCAACTCCAGCGTTATGCTGGATTCTTCATAGGAGTGCAATTAGAATGTATTCAAGAAAGAGGAACCAGGAAGTTCAGTTCAACAAGCCTTGGCTGTCACCGACAGGCCTGAGTTTTTATACAGTGAGTCATGAAGGAGTGCCAAATCCTTCCTCACTCTACCAAAATAATTAAAAATGGGTAGCGTTCCATGTTAGTCTGACAGTGTGTGATTAGCTGTGCTTAGGGACAGTTGCTTCAATTCCCAGCATGTTACGTATTAAGTTATATTAAGTTTGTTGCTCCCTAGATTATTGAGGTCAGATTTATTCCTTGACATTATAAAATAAGACCTTGAAATTTACAAGAGTTTATTATTAGGCATGTCACCTAAGTTATCTTTGACTTAAAGGAGAACTATGGGGTCAGTGTTTTTCCCCATAGTTCTCCTTAGGGTAACGGGAGGACACAAACTAGCGTCCTCCCGTTACCCTAAGCTCAGTATACCGCGAGCTACAGCTCGCGGTATACTGAGACGCCGCAGCCGGAGCGGATCCCGACATAGATGACGGGATCCGCCCAGCTGCGTGAGTGACAGCTGGCTCTGCCTATCTAGAGGCAGAGCCAGCTGTACCCGCCCCCTCCCCCGTCCGTTCCGCCAGTCAGCGCTGGCAGATCGGAGCGGGGAGAGGGGAATCCAGCCCCTCCCCCTGTCACGGCAGAGAGCCGTGACAGGATCGAGAGGCGAGCGAACCCGGTATGTGTTCGCTCACCTCCCGATCTACTGAGCCGACCTGTGACAGTCTCATTGTCACAGGTCGGCTAG